TTTCCCAGGGAAAAAAGTGAAAAAGTATATCCCCAAGCATAGGAGCTACTGCCTGCTGACCACCCCATGCTCCTATTGTTGGGCATACATGTATGGGGAAAAAAAAGGAAGAACCTAACAGATTCCTCTATTCACAACGATCGATGTGGATGACTATATCTCTGCCAGAAAAAGTAGTCTTCTGCGAGACATCCACCCTCTTCTCTAATGTGGGGCATACATGTAATATTGTTTTTCTCCATTCATATTGATTGATGTGGTTGAATAAATCTCCGTCAGGAAAAAAAAGTGAAAATATTATATGCCAAAGCCTAGGAGCGATTCACCGACTGACCACCCTAAGCTTCTTATGTTTGGGCATACATGTTCTTCCCTTTTTTTTTTTTTTTTTTTTTTTTTTTTTTTAACTTTAATTGTGGATGAGACATCTCCTCATGTGTTGCTAGTACCTACAAATCTTTCTAGCCCTCTGAGAAGTATGTTCCTTCTTGTAAAATAGAGTTAATGCCTGTGGGAAGGCCACAGTCTTCTCTGATTTGTCATGCCAATCTGGTCGGGATCCAGTCCCCTTCCCTCTCTGAGGAGTCTGGAGAGTTCACACAACACACAGCTGCTCTCCCCCTCCCTCCCCTATAGGCAAAAGGTCCTTAACACACAGACCAGCCTTCAGTAATCGCAGCAGCAAATTCAGTTACTGTAAGAAGTCACTGAAAGTGCTGTTTTATTATATTTATTCCTGTTCTAATGATAATGCATAAATACTTTTTTAAAAGTAAAATACAACACTAGTTTTTTATCAACATACAAACATTGCCCACATGTTACAGTAAAACAAAATACAACTAGAAAATCTACAATTTCTGGGGAAATTGTGTGTGAAGTGTTCTTTCCTCCACCAGTAGGCTACAACTGGAGTGGGCGGAGTAGCTTTTGTCACTCTGCAGCCTGCTCACACACCTGGGTTCCTATGGCAACTCACTCTACAGCAAGGGCAGAGAAGAGCGGTTAAAAAAAAACAAACTGCTCCAACTTGCTCACTTCACTGGCGTTGCCATCTTCAAACAGTTGTAGTTTTAAAATTATAAATCCTAAACCGAAGAGCTTTATATTGATGCATAGTATGTCTCTGAAATATAAAAAAAATGAAGGCACAGTCGCAGTTTAGAAACTGCCCTTCAAATTTCAGGTGGCTAGAGTGGAGTTTCAGTGAATGTCAATGGGCGGCATGAGTTGCAAACAAATGGTCATATTGTGAAAACTATCAGGACTATGGCTTAGTTGTGGACATTTTTAGTGGCAGTGGGGATGGCTGAACGTTTTGATAAAAGATTTGTATAGGTGGGCTTGAAAATGAGGAAGTGATGGCAGTTTAGAAATAATGTCCTGGTTTTTCATCGCACACTCTAGCTTTTGTCAGCTCCCACTTTAGTTTTGAACATTGCGCCATTCATTCCTAAGGGACTAATTTCACCACACAAACGGCGATATTTCGTGAAGCATTTGGCGAAACGTTCCACAAAGTAATAGCACACCAATCCAGAACAATCTGCACGTTTTGGTATATTACTGTCTATGTAGTGTAAAAACTGTGGGAGGAGTTAGGGTGGTAAATTTGGCTATAATAATATATACAGTAGGGCAAAAAAAGTATTTAGTCAGCCACCAATTGTGCAAGTTCTCCCACTTAAAAAGATGAGAGAGGCCTGTAATTGGCATCATAGGTAGACTTCAACTATGAGAGACAAAATGAGAAAAAAAAAAATCCAGACAATCACATTGGCTGATTTGGAAAGAATTTATTTGCAAATTATGGTGGAAAATAAGTATTTGGTCACCTACAAACAAGCAAGATTTCTGGCTCTCACAGACCTGTACCTTCTTCCTTAAGAGGCTCCTCTGTCCTGCACTCATTACCTGTATCAATGGCACCTGTTTGAACTTGTTATCAGTATAAAAGACACCTGTCCACAACCTCAAATAGTCACACTCCAAACTCCACTATGGTGAAGACCAAATAGCTGTCGAAGGACACCAGAAACAAAATTGTAGACCTGCACCAGGCTGGGAAGACTGAATTTGCAAACAGGCAAGCAGCTTGGTGTGAACAAATCAACTGTGGGAGCAATAATTAGAAAATGGAAGACATACAAGACCACCGATAATCTCCCTCGATCTGGGGCTCCACGCAAGTTGTCACCCCGTGGGGCAAAATAATCACAAGAACGGTGAGCAAAAATCCCAGGACCACACGGGGGAACCTAGTGAATGACCTGCAGAGAGCCGGGACAAACGTAACAAAGGCTACCATCAGTAACACACTACGCCGCCAGGAACTCAGATCCTGCAGTGCCAGACGTGTCCCCCTGCTTAAGCCAGTACATGTCCAGGCCCATCTGAAGTTTGCTAGAGAGCATTTGGATGATCCAGAAGAGGATTGGGAGATTTTCATATGGTCAGATGAAACCAAAATAGAACTGTTTGGTAGAAACACAACTCGTTGTGTTTGGAGGAGAGAGAATGCTGAGTTGCATCCAAAGAACACCATAACTACTGTGAAGCATGGGGATGGCAACATCATGCTTTGGGGCTGTTTCCCTGCAAAGGGACCAGGACGACTGACCCATGTACAGGACAGAATGAATGGGGCCATGTACCGTGAGATTTTGAGTGCAAACCTCCTTCCATCAGCAAGGGCATTGAAGATGAAACGTGGCTGGGTCTTCCAACATGACAATGATCCCAAACATACTGCCCGGGCAACGAAGGAATGGCTTCGTAAGAAGCATTTCAAGGTCCTGGAGTGGCCTAGCCAGTCTCCAGATCTCAACCCCATAGAAAACCTTTGGAGGGAGTTGAAAGTCCGTGTTGCCCAGCGACAGCCCCAAAACATCACTGCTCTAGAGGAGATCTGCATGGAGGAATGGGCCAACATACCAGCAACAGTGTGTGCCAACCTTGTGAAGACTTACAGGAAACGTTTGACGTCTGTCATTTCCAACAAAGGATATATAAAAAAGTATTGAGATAAACTTTTGATATTGACCAAATACTTATTTTCCACCATAATTTGCAAATACATTCTTTCCAAATGTGATTGTCTGGATTTTTTTTTTTTCTCATTTTGTCTCTCATAGTTGAGGTCTACCTATGATGCCAATTACAGGCCTCTCTCATCTTTTTAAGTGGGAGAACTTGCATGATTGGTGGCTGACTAAATACTTTTTTGCCCCACTGTATGTGAGATAACAATAAGTGGTCCTACCATGCAAGAACACTTAATAAGAATATATATGTGAGATAACAGTAAGTGGTCTTGCCATGCAAGAACACTTAATAACAACAGAGCTAGTATTGTAAATGGATGATTTAGACTATTCAGATTGTGATCATGGCAATTTAAACCTTCCATTCACATTTTCGCTTTGGCTGGTTTCTCAGTGCTGCGCTGCTGTTTGGCCACAGCGTGGTTGTTTCACAATTTCCCATAGATTTTCTATTAGGTTCTATTAGGTTCTGTGTTTGGCGTATTTTCTGAATGTGCACCAGAGATGCAGCACCTGGACTTTTGGTGCGCTTTTCAGAAATTACCACTGAAAAGCTGTAGCAGAACGGTGGCAGTGGTTAAGCATAGGAACAGTTGATGTGTTATTTAATGTGTGTGACAATGGACATCTTTTAGCTTTGAGCTTGGGAATGTCCTGAAAAGCTCTTGAAAATATGTATTTATTTTTTTAATGGTACTTAAAGTGGAGTTCCACTTGCACTGTAAAAAAATTAAAGCAGCTACAAAATCTGTAGCTGCTGACTTTTAAAAAAACAGCCACTCACCTGTCCCATGATCACGCAGTGTTCTCCCTGCAGCCCGTTTCACCGGCCATCTGGTGTTCCAGGCACCGGCATCTTCAGTGTGGGTACCCAGCTGTGACAGCTTGCAGCTTCACAGCCGGGTGCCCACTGCACATGCACGAGTAGCTCAGAGCTTCCTGAATGGCCCTGTAGTCTTCTGGAACCTGTCACGTGTCCCAGAAGACTACGGAGAGAGAGGGTAGGTGGACAATTTCCGCTTCCGATCACCTAAGCGATCGCAGCAGAAGTGGGAGCGGATACCCGCACCCTCCCTGCTCCCCAAAGGTGCCAATGGGGAGCAGGGGACCAGTCTTTAAAGTGGAACTTCCTCTTTTGGGTGGATCTCTGCTTTAATACCTTTTTAGTTTATTTGAATGCTTGTTAAAGTACACTATATTGCCAAATGTATTGGGATGCCTGCTTTACACGCACATGAATTTTAATGGAATTCCAGCCTTAGCCCATAGGGTTCAGTATTGAGATTGGTCCAGCCTTAGCAGCTATAACAGCTTCAGCTCTTTTGGGAAGGCTGTCCACAAGGTTTAGAAGCATGTCTATGGGAATGCTTGGCCATTCTTCCAGAAGCACATTTTTGAGGTCAGGCACTCATGTTGGACGAGAAGTCGTGGCTCTGTCTTTGCTCGAATTCATCTCAAAGGTGTTCTATCAAGTAGAGGTCAGGACTCTGTGCAGGCCAGTCAAGTTCCTCCACCCCAAACTCACTCATGCATGTCTTTATGGACCTTGCTTTGTACATTGGTGCTCAGTCATGTTGGAACAGGAAGGGTCCATCCCCAAACTGTTCCCTCAAAGTTGGCAGTATGAAATTGTCTAAAATGTCTAGGTATACTGAGGCCTTAAGAGTTCCCTTAACTAGAACTAAGGAGCCAAGCCCGACCCCTGAAAAACAACCCCCCACACCATAATCCCCCTCCACCAAACTTTACACTTGGCACAATGCAGTCAGGCAAGTACCGTTTTCATGGCAACCGCAAAACCCAGACATGTCCACTGGATTTCCAGACATAGAAGTGTGATTCGTCACTCCAGACAACACATCTCCACTGCTCTAGAGTCCAGTGGCTGCATGCTTTACACCACTGCATCCAATGCTTTACATTGCACTTGGTGATGTAAGGCTTGGATGCAGCTACTCTGCCATGGAAACCCATTCCATGAAGCTCTATATGCACTGTTGTACTGATCTGAAGGCCACACAGAGTTTGGAGGTTTTAGCTATTGCTTCTACAGACAGTTGGCAACTTCTGCGCACTGTGCGATTCATCATGTGTTGACCCCTCTGTCATTTTTCGTGGCTGAGTTGCTGCTGTTTCCAGTTGCTTCCATTTTATATTAAAAGCACTAAAAGTTGACCATGGACTATTTAGTAGCAAGGAAATGTGCTGATCTGAAGGCCACATGAAATGTGGAGGTCTTTAGCTATTGACTCTGCAGACAGTTGGCGATTACTGAGCTTCAGTGTGTGCTGATCCCGCTCTGTCATTTTATGTGGCCTACTACTTTGTGGCTGAGTTGCTGTTGTTCCCAGTTTTCTCCACTTTGTTATAATACCACTAACAGTTGACCGTGGAATATTTAGTAGCAAGGAAATTTCATGGATGGACTTATTGCACAGGTGGCAACCTAATAACAGTACCACGCTTGAATTCACTGAGCTCCTGAGAGCGGCCCATTCTTTCACAAATGTTTGTAGAAGCAGTCTGCATGCCTTGGTGCTTGATTTTATACACCTGTGACCATGGAAGTGATCGGAACACCTGAATCTTATGATTTGGAGGGGTGTCCCAATACTGTTGGCAATATAGTGTATATAGGAAAACATTAATTGTCAGTGTTATAGAAGAGATCCCAGTAGCCTGATGAGCACAAAAGCTATGTGTATGAACTATGATTTTATAGTCCTCTGTTTGGTTTGTTTCAGAAATTCTCAACTTGCCTGTTTTTTTGCTTTCTAGATACATGTACCATGTTTTAACGAAGAACACCACTGTCACAGATCAAAATCGCAATTTATTAGTGGAGACAATTCGTTCCATCACAGAGATTCTTATCTGGGGGGATCAAAATGACAGCTCTGTTTTTGAGTAAGTGGTATTTAAGACTTACTGGTTTAAAACAAATGCCACTCATGCATTGAATGACATATTCTTTGAGTAAGAGATGTATTGGAATAATACAAATGAAGCTAATGTAATAAATGTTGTTAATTGCATTTCTTTGGGACTTTTATGTTGGCAATTTAAATTTATTTAAATTTAGATAGTGACTAGCAATTGTGTGCTCATTTTGTAATGAAATTTGGGATGAAATTCTGCATTCCTGGAAAAACACTCCCATGATATAAATGTCCTAAAATGTGTACAAGGTGACCTATACAAAGTGCAGCAGTTTGGGGTACGTAGCATTCTGCAGTGTACATCATGTTGTATGGATTGCAGCATTTTTGAGCATGTATTATACGGTGATACACGAAAAATTACAATATCGTGCAAAAGTTAATTTATTTCAGTAATGCAATTTAAAAGGTGAAACTAATATATGAGAGAGACTCATTACATGCAAATCAAGATAGTTCAAGCCGTGAATTGTCATAATTGCGATGATTATGGCTTACAGCTCATGAAAACCCCAAATCCACAATCTCAGAAAATTTAGAATATTACATGCAATCAATAAAAAAAGGATTGTACATAGAACAATATCGGACCTCTGGAAAGTATAAGCATGCATATGTACTCAGTACTTGGTTTGGGCCCTTTTTGCAGCAATTACTGCCTCAATGCGGAGTGGCATGGGAGCTATCAGCCTGTGGCACTGCTGAGGTGTTATGGAAGACCAGGATACTTCAGTAGCGGCCTTCCGCTCTTCTGCATTGTTCGGTCTCATGTCTCTCATCTTTCTCTTGGCAATGCCCAATAGATTCTCTATGGGGTTCAGGTCAGGCGAGTTTGCTGGCCAATCAAGCACAGTAATCCCACGGTCATTGAACCAGGTTTTAATGCTTTTGGCAGTGTGGGCAGGTGCCAAGTCCCGCTGGAAAATGAAGTCAGAATCCCCATAAAGCTTGTCTGCGGAAGGAAGCATGAAGTGCTCCAAAATCTCCTGGTAGACAGCTGCGTTGACCCTGGACTTAATGAAGCACAGTAGACCAACACCAGCAGATGACATGGCTCCCCAAATCAGCACAGACTGTGTAAACTTCACACTGGATTTCAAGCATCTTGCAGTGTGTGCCTCTCCATTCTTCCTCCATACTCTGGGTCCTTGGTTTCCAAATGAGATGCAAAAGTTGCTCTCATCAGAAAAGAGGACTTTGGACCAACAGACCAGGTCTGTTTTTCTTTAGCCCAGGTAAGACGCTGCTGACGTTGTTTGGTGTTCAGGAGCGGCTTGACAAGAGGAATACGACATTTGAAGCCCATGTCCAGGATCCATCTGTGTGTGGTGGCTGTTGATGCACTGACTCCAGCCTCAGTCCACTCCTTGTGAAAGTCCCCAACACTTTTGAATGGCCTTTTCCTGACAATCCTCTCCAGGCTGCGGTGATCCCTGCTGCTTGTGCACCTTTTTCTTCCACAGTTTTCCCTTCCACATAACTTTCTATTAATGTGCTTTGATGCAGCACTTTGGGAATATCCAACTAATTTTGGAATTACCTTTTGAGGCTTTCTCTCCTTATGGAGTGTGTCGATGATTTTCTGCACAACTGTCAGGTCAGCAGTCTTTCCCATGATTGTGATTCCTACTGAACCAGACTGAGAGACCATTTAAAGGCTCAGGAACCCTTTGCAGGTGTTATGGCTTAATTAGCTGATTAGAATGGGACACTTTAAGCCTAGAATATTGCACCTTTTCACAATATTCTAATTTTCTGAGACTGTGGATTTGGGGTTTTCATAAGCTGTAAGCCATAATCATAACAATTATGGCAAATCACGGCTTGAACGATCTTGCTTTGCATGTAGTGAGTCTATCTCATATATTAGTTTCACCTTTTAAGCTGCATTACTGAAATAAATGAACTTTTGCACGATATTCAAATTTTTTTAAGTTTCCCCTGTAATCCAGACCACACTGTGCTGCATATGTAATAATATGAATTTCAGAATGTAGCAAGTTAGGGTATGTATAATGTGGAGCAGTCCTCTAAATAAAAGCCTTTTTACGTTTTTGTTCAGTGTAAATTCCTCAATTATATTAGTAGTCAAAGTAAATACCGTTCCTTATTTTGGCATCCAGTATAAATCCCCCATTTTTGTATTTTTGATTCTTGTTTAATTCCTCTTTATATTGGTGCTGGGTGTGTAAATGGGAAAAATGCTAATAGCAGAACATAAAAAGTACAGATTCAGTTTTATTCAGACACTTTTCACAAATCCAATACCGAGCCAATGAGTTTCGTGAGTTCAAAGGGTCCCTTTGCGTTAGGGCTTTGCACTATTGAACAAAGTGTGTTCTGGAGTGATACAATTGAAGAGATCCTGAAGGGTAATTAGTATGATCTCTCCAGATTCCTTAACTTAACTAGCATCATACTAATTGCTCCTTCAAATCCCTCCAGTTTTAGAAGTCTACCAAGACTCGCTGAAGGGAAGTTATTTTGTTTACGTAAGAGTCTGAATAAAAATGAATCTGGATTGTATATATTTTGCCTTTCTGGTGTTTTCTTCTTTGTACGCCCAGTCCTTTTCTCGAGCAGGACTTTCAGCTGACCTTCAGCAACCATTTCTGGGAGAGCTGCCTAAAGAGAATAATTTCTTTTACACAGCATTGGTGGCCGGTGTGAATGCTCCCCATCCCCCCTACAGTTGCATTGGTGATCAGGGAAAATGTCCTCCTCCCTTTCTTTGATGCTCAATGTAAACCTTGGTCTGTGTAAATGCTGTGGTAATTAACCTCCCTAGCGGTCTGATTATGTCAGTATTTCTGTGCTCAAAGCGGTACATTGTTTTCTATGGAAACATGTTTTTTTTTTTCTTTTTATTGTAGGCCTGTAATTCTTAGGAATAACTCACTGAAATCTGTACGAACAAGAGTCTAGTAAACATCCCGGGTATGATAAAATTTGAAACACGAAATCAAAATTATAATATAATAGTAAAAAAAAATTATTATAATAAATGTAATTCAATAATGTAAGCAAACCAAAAACACTGACATTTGAAATAGAGCGCCAAGTTCGCACATCGCTGATCAAGGTCGCAGAATCGTTTTCAGTGTTTGATTAATTTCTCCACGAATCATTATCACTCAATTCTGCAAGTGGTTCTGATTTTACCATCGCTGTTCTCTAACTGATCTAAAACTTCTTTTGACCTAAAGGGATGCTTTTCGGATACCATGGACATTTCTCAGTTTTCCATGCAGAAAGAACTGTAAAAATGCAGGCAGGGCACAGGACAAAGCACTAGGAACAAATTGTATGTGAAATGGTTTGATACAGTAATGTAATACTATCAGATTTTAGTGTATTGAGCGAATGTCAGATTTAAAACATTTTTAAATTCCTGACGGTTCCGTCCCCCGTACGTCCTGGTGCTCGCAGGGAACGGAACCCGAAAGATGGATGCCGGCATCAGCCAGAGGATGTGGCCGGGAACGCTGCAGGGGGGACATCGTGGGACCGCAGGACAAGGTAAGTGCTCGTAGGATCCCAGAGCAACGCTGCACTGTAATCCTGAGTGTAGCTCGAGGTTACCGCTTTTGATACTGAAAGTTAATCCCGAGCTACACTCGGGAATACCGCCAGGGGGGTTAACCTTAGTGGTGGTTAACTGACTGCTAGGCCTGCAACACTTGCTCTTCCAAATGCTGACTGTGACTGTCATAGTTCAGGTGCAGGCATGCCCTTTTTGATGGACCTGTTGCTCATTGCCATTTTGTTTTTGAGCTCTAGAGACATGTTAACCTCACAGCATTGATCTTTGTTGTCTGAAATGTGGGCCTCTGCATATACTATAGGAAACCTTATTTCTTTACCTGCCAGTGATGCAGCAGTTTAGAAATAGCAGGGATATGACAGCAGGGAGGATGTGCAAGATGTATTGGCAGGGCTATAATAGTGGTCTGGAGAGAAGTGTTGGAGGGGATGACAGGTGCCTTTATACAGTGGGGCAAAAAAGTATTTAGTCAGCCATCAGTTGTGCAAGTTCTCCCACTTTAAAAGAAGAGAGAGGCCTGTAATTGGCATCATAGGTAAACCTCAACTATGAGAGACAAAATGAGAAAAAAAAATCCAGACAATCACATTGGCTGATTTGGAAAGAATTTATTTGCAAATTATGGTGGAAAATAAGTATTTGGTCAATATGAAAAGTTCATCTCAATACTTTGTTATATATCCTTTCTTGGCAATGACAGAGGTCAAACGTTTCCTGTAAGTCTTCACAAGGTTGGCACACACTGTTGCTGGTATGTTGGCCCATTCCTCCATGCAGATCTCCTCTAGAGCAGTGATGTTTTGGGGCTGTCGCTGGGCAACATGGACTTTCAACTCCCTCCAAAGGTTTTCTATGGCGTGGAGATCTGGAGACTGGCTAGGCCACTCTAGGACCTTGAAATGCTTCTTACGAGGCCACTCCTCCATTGCCCGGGAGGTATGTTTGGGATCATTGTCATGTTGGAAGACCCAGCCACGTTTCATCTTCAATGCCCTTGCTGATGGAAGGAGGTTTGCACTCAAAATCTCACGATACATGGCCCCATTCATTCTGTCCTGTACATGGATCAGTCGTCCTGGTCCCTTTGCGGAGAAACAGCCCCAAAGCATGATGTAGCCACCCCCATGCTTCACAGTAGGTATGGTGTTCTTTGGATGCAACCCAGCATTCTCTCTCCTCCAAACACGACGAGTTGTGTTTCTACCAAACAGTTCTATTTTGGTTTCATCTGACCATATGACATTCTCCCAATCCTCTTCTGGATCATCCAAATGCTCTCTAGCAAACTTCAGATGGGCCCAGACATGTACTGGGTTAAGCAGGGGGACACGTCTGGCACTGCAGGATCTGAGTCCCTGGCGGCGTAGTGTGTTACTGATGGTAGCCTTTGTTACGTTGGTCCCAGCTCTCTGCAGGTCAGGTCAGGCTCACTAGGTCCCCCCGTGTGGTCCTGGGATTTTTGCTCACGGTTCTTGTGATCATTTTGACCCCACGGGGAGCCCCAGATCGAGGGAGATTATCGGTGGTCTTGTATGTCTTCCATTTTCTAATTATTGCTCCCACAGTTGATTTGTTCACACCAAGCTGCTTGCCTATTGCAGATTCAGTCTTCCCAGCCTGGTGCAGGTCTACAATTTTGTTTCTGGTGTCCTTCGACAGTTCTTTGGTCTTCACCATAGTGGAGTTTGGAGTGTGACTATTTGAGGTTGTGGACAGGTGTCTTTTATACTGATAACAAGTTCAAACAGGTGCCATTGATACAGGTAATGAGTGCAGGACAGAGGAGCCTCTTAAAGAAGAAGGTACAGGTCTGTGAGAGCCAGAAATCTTGCTTGTTTGTAGGTGACCAAATACTTGTTTTCCACCATAATTTGCAAATTCTTTCCAAATCAGCCAATGTGATTGTCTGGATTTTTTTTCTCATTTTATCTCTCATAGTTGAGGTCTACCTATGATGCCAATTACAGGCCTCTCTCATCTTTTTAAGTGGGAGAACTTGCACAATTGGTGGCTGACTAAATACTTTTTTGCCCCACTGTATACAGCGTTCAGCATAAATGAATACACCACAACAGATTTGTCAGAAAACCTTTACTTTCCTTTCAGAATCAAAATTTTGTATGGGACCCTATACTAAAAAATACTCCTACAAATGCAGGCCATTGATTAGAAACAAGAGTTGTTAATTTGCACACACAAGAGTATTTTTCCTAACAAATTTATTCAAGACGGTGTTGCAAAAATGAATACACCTCAATGAAAGTCTTAGGAGTTAGAAGTTAAATTTTAGACAACAAAATCCTAATGAATAAGAATTCAACTACAGGTGAGTTTAATTATTCATTAAACAGGTGTCCAGCAGACAGTTGATTATAAAAGGGCGTTACTTAGCTAAGAAAACCCCTTCCCATCTCATGCTGTCAGCAATGACACCACATGGTGAGAAAGAATAATTTCTTTACACAAGAAAGGTGAAAGCTACAAGAAGATCAGCAGAGCTTTACATATCAGAATACTGTAGCAAAAGTGATATAAAAAAATTAACAAAGATGAAACTGCAACCATGTAACTGAGACATCCAGGCCCGTCCACTGAAGTTAACACCACAACGGGAACGTCTTCTGATGAGGAGGGTTAAAGAAAATTGCCATGCAAGTTCACTGCAGTTAGCTAAAGAAGTAGAAGGCCAAACTGGGGTGACTGTTTCCCGTGACACAACACAACGTACACTGCAGAGGAATGGCATGCATAGGTGTCTTCCACGAAGGAATCTTCTCCTAAAGCCCATGCACAAAAAGGCCACCTAGAACTTGCCAGGGCCCATGCAGAAAAAGACTACTGGCACTCTGTACTGTGTATTGATGAGACCAAGATAAATGTTTTTGGAACGGATAGCTTCAAAACTGTATGGCGTCACAAAGGTGAGCAGTACAAAGAAAATTGCATGGTGACTACAGTGAAACCTGGTGATGGCAGTGTCCTTTTGTGGGACTGCATGACTGCTGTTGGTGTCGTGAAGCTGCATTTCATTGATGGTATAAATTCACAGATGTACTGCTCTATATTGAAAGAGAATATGCAACCATCACTCCGTGCCCTTGGTCGTCGTGTACTTTTCCAACATGACAATGATCCAAAACACACATCTAAGGCCACTGTTGCATTTCTGAAGAAGAACAGGGTGAAAGTGATTCAGTGGCCAAGTATGTCTCCTGATCTGAACCCATTCGAACACCTATGGGGAATTCTGAAGAGACAAGTTGAGCATCGCTCTCCATCCAGCATCCAGGCTCTAAAAGAGGTCGTTCTTGAAGAATGGAAAAAGATAGATGTTGCAATATGTCGCCAATTTGTTCATTCCATGCCTAGAAGACTTGGTGCTCTCCTTACAAATCATGGAGGTCATACAAAATACTAGATGGAATAGTTTTTGTTGTGGGTGTATTCATTTTTGCATCAACTAATTTGAGTAAAACTGAAGCTTTTGTAATCTTAGTTATATTTATTAACCTTACTTTCATGTAATGAGCTAAAAAACTGTTCTATGAAACTCCAGTTTTGTCAAAAGTTTGTAAATTGTTCTTGTGTTCATTGAGATATTGAATAAAATCTTACTTTTAAAAAGGGATGTACTCAGTTGTGCTGAGCACTGTACAAGGAGTGCTGGAGTGTGTGACAGGACTTTGTATGAGCAGGAGGGTATGGCAGTGATGAGTAAGGACGGGAGAGCAGTGTCACAGCTTATATCAGTCACTATGTGCAGGAAAGGTGTGCTGGAGGACATGGCCAAAATCAGTATGTTCAGGAGATATGTTTCAGTGGATTTGACAGGGGCCAGTATGTACAGGAGAGGTGTATGCAGTGTATGACTGTGAGCATCATATGCAGTAAAGGAGCATCTTAAGGTTTAACAGTTGGCAGTGTATGTAGGAGAGCAGTATTGTCAAAGGAGATGACATTTGGCAGAATGAGCAGGGGAGGAATATGGGAGGATGTGATACTTGGCAGTATATGTACAGTGAAGGAAACAAGTATTTGATCCCATTCTGATTTTGAATGTTTGCCCACTCACAAAGAAATGATCAATGTAAAAATTGAATGATAGGTGTATTGTACTGAGAGACAGAATAGCAACAGAAAATTCTAAAGAAATGCATATCTAACAAATTATGCACTGATTTGCATGTTCATGAGTGAAATAAGTATTTGATCCCATTCACAAAGCATGACTTAGTACTTGGTGGCAAATCCCTTGTTGACAATCACAGAGCTCAGACATTTCCTGTAGTTGGCCACCAGGTTTTCACACATCTCAGGAGGTTTGGTGGCTGACATTTGGCAACTCAAACTTTCAGCTGCCTCTGCAGATTTTCAATCGGATTAATGTCTGGAGACTGGCTAGGCCACTCCAGGACCTTAATGTGTTTCTTCTTGAGCCACTTCTTTGTTGCCTTGGCCGTGTGTTTTGGGTCATTGTCATGCTAGAACACCCATCCACGACCCATTTTCGATGCCCAGGCTGAGGGAAGAAGGTTCTCACCCAAGATTTGACGGTACATGGCCCCATCCATCGTCCCTTTTGATGCGGTGCGGTTGTCCGGTCCCCTTAGCAGAAAAACACCCCCAAAGCAGAATGTTTCCACTACCATGTTTGACAGTTGGGATGGTGTTCTTGGGATCCTAGGCAGCATTCCTCCTCCAAACACGGCGAGTTGAGTTGATGCCAAAGAGCTCAGTTTTGGTCTCATCTGACCACAACACTTTTAACCAGTCCTCCTCTGCATCGTTCAGATGTTCAGTGGCAAACTTCAGATGGGCCTGGACATGTGCTTTCTTGAGCAGAGGGACCATGTGGGCAGTGCAGGATTTCAATCCTTGTCGGCATAGTGTCACAAATTGTTTTCTTGGTGACTGTGGTCCCAGGTGCCTGGAGATCATTGACAAGATCCTCATGTGTAGTTCTGGGATGATTCCTCCTGTTCTCATGATCATTGACACGCCACGAGGTCAGATCTTGCATAGTGCACCAGACCTAGGGAGACTGACAGTTGTTTTGTGTTTCTTCCATTTGCGAATGATTGCACCAACTGTTGTCACCTTCTCACCAAGCTGCTTGGCGATAGTTTGGTAGCCCAGTCCAGTCTTGTGTAGGTCTACAATATTGTTCCTGACATCCTTGGACATCTTTGGTCTTTGCCATGGTGAGAGTTTGGAATCTGATTGCTCCTGTGGACAGGTGTCTTTTTATAGAGGTAACAAAATGAAATTAGTAGCACTCCCTTTTAAGACACTGCTTCTAATCTCAGCTTGTTACCTGTATAAAAGACACCTGGTAGCCAGACATCCTGCTGAATGATAAGGGATCAAATACTTATTTCCCACATGAAAATGCAAATCCGTGCATAATTTTAGACTTGCATTTTGTTTGAATTTTTTGTTGCTATTTGGTGTTACAATACACCTACCATTTGATTTTTATACTGATAATTTCTTTGGGAGTGGGCAAACATTCAAAATCAGCAGGGGATCAAATACTTATTTCCTTCACTGTAGGAGAAGGGAGCTGGTGTGTGTGGTGGCTAGTATGTGCAGTGGAGGAGTTGGCGGTGAAATTGTATGGCAGTGGGCAGGATGTGCAGGAAAGGAGTGTGTAGGATATGACCATTTTCAGTATGTGCAGAGGAGAAGACCTTACAATATGGCAATATGCAGGGGAGGAGTACTGGAGGGTAAACTGCAAGCAGTATATGCAGCTGAAAGTGTATGCATGAATGCTGAGATGGAGAGTATGGCAATGGGCAATATTTGCAATAGAGGACTGTGAATGGATGACAGTGGGCAAAAATATACTGTATGTGCTAGAGGTAGTTCAGAAGGTATGGCAGCATTCAGATGACCAATGCCAGACCATGTGAAGCCGGAAGTATACACTGAAGGGGAATGTATGTTGAATGTATATGAATGTATGGTAGGGACACTGTTAAAAGAATGTTCCAGGATGTAGTCACAACTGAGTGAGTTGTGCGTGTGCTTGGGACCTGTCAGCATTACTGAAGGAAAGCACATATACTTTTCTTATGCATTCAATTCTGGTGACTAATTCTCCAGCACTGAAACAGAAAATAACTTTTCCATTTTATAGCAAACAGGAAAGAAATGAAAACCTGTACTTTGATCAACTATCCAGGACTGTGAATCATCTGCTTTGATCAGCTGGTTGGGGCTGATCACATACATTTGGATTTTGTACTATGAATTGAGAACATACAGAAACACTGGCAGAAAAATCTGCTTTTCATAAATAATAGCACAGGATAGGATGAAGAAGTATGACTGACTGCCAGCTTTGAAGCAATACTGTCATTTAAATCTAACAAAAAGTCATAATGTGTGTTGCATTAACTTTTGCGCTGATAACTGAAAAATATCAATATTACATGGACAGTTGTATACACTCACCAACCACTTTATTAGGTACACCTGTTCAACTGATTGGTAACAGGAATTGCTAATCAGCCAATCACATGGCAGCATCTCAATGCATTTAGACATCTAGACGTGAGGAAGATGATTTGCTGAAGTTCAAACTAAACATCGGAATGGAGAAGAGAGGGCATTTAAGTGACTTTAAACGTGGCGTGGTTGTTGGTACCAGATGAACTGGTCTTAGTATTTCAAAAATTGCTGCTCTTCTGGGATTTTCACACACTATCATCTCCAGGGTTTACAGAAAATGGTGTGAAAAAGAGAAAATAACCAGTGAGTGGCAGTTGTGTGGACGAAAATGCCTTGTTGATGTCCAAGGAGAATGGGCAGACTGGTTTAAGATGATAGATGACAGTAGCTCAAATAACCACTCGTTACATCCAAGGTATGCAGAATACCATCTCTAAATGCACAACATGTAGAACCTTGAAGCAAATGGGCTAGAGCAGCAGAAGACCACACCGGGTAGCAAAGTGTCTAATAAAGTGGCCGGTGAGTGTAAATTTCTCTTACATTATCCACTTGCCACCAAGGCCAATTCTAACATTTCACATGTAAAAATCTGCATTTGTTTGCTAAAAAAATGTATCTATAACCCCCCAACATTATATATATTTTTAAGCAGAGGCCCTTTTAAAACAAAATGGCGGGTGTTGCAATTTTTTACGTCAAGTGGTATTTGGGCAGTGGTTTTTCAAATGCAAATTTTGCAAAGGTGATGCTGCGCAGAGTAAATACCAGACAAGTCATGCTTTAAAATTTTGGTTGGGGGGGGGGCACGTGTCTGACTGGCTCTGTAGATGGACACTCCTTAACAGAGCCACTCAGCCTCTCCAGCTACTAGAGCGGCATCACTGTGACTTGTGGGACACCGACACCCCAGACAATCGGGTACACTCCCCTGACCACTCTGGTGCAATGCCCCGCCTCCGGAAGTCACTCGGCCAGCCGCAAAAGTGACTTATTTCTATCTGGCCCGGAACTTCAGCAGCCAAGATGGCGCCAGCGGCCTGCAGATCAGTCCTTCCGCTCTCATGGAGGAATGGTCTGCATACACATCGGACCCTAGGCTCTCAGTACCTCTCTGTGATGGAGATCCGGGTGAGTTCTCTCCTCCTTTTTCTCCAACCACATGCAGCCCTGCTAAATCGAGGCCCAGGATAGAGGATGCCACTTACACAGCAATGCATATACCTTCTGTTTCCCACATGCCTGCCTCAGTTACAGTCAGCTATAGAAGCTTTCCCTGCCTCTGATCAGCCAGTATCCTAATTAACTATGAAGAGTATGCTTCTTTTATTAAAACAAACTCTGCACGATTTAACAGTTGTGATCGCTCCGATTTCCAACACTGTACATGAGCATGGCCAATGCCTGCACCATATTGAAACCAAAATGAGCTAAATATTTTCAGCTCATGACATGATAAATGCTCATACATATCATGATAATGAGTTGCAACAATTTTAAAATTCAAAATAGCAGACTTAGAAGACCGCTCTAGAAGACATAACATTACATTTCGTGGCATTCCGGAATCAGTCAACTCTGATACCTTTGTGCAATAGGTACAACAACTAATGAAACATCTCATCCCGTCGATCAATGACATAGAAGCAGCCATTGACAGAGCTCAGTGAATTCCAAAACCATCCTTCTTACCCGTGTCAGTCGCTAGAGATGT